TCCCACCCCCAGCCTGCCCCTTCCCTCAACCGGTCTCCCCAGCCCCCTCTGCTCCCTGGGCTCCCCTAGCCCTCCTCCCCCCATTGAGCTGGCTGTCCTCTTTCCCCACTGGGACAAGCTACCCAGCCCCCCGCAGTGGGTCAGGCTGTCCTAACACTGCCCAGGAAGACCCCGGCCTCCAAGCCTGGCAGCCCAACTGAGGGACTGGGCTGGGTTGCCCTCCCGCACCCCGGGGTGTCAGGGTGGGGGAGGGGAGCCAGGCCATGGGGGCAGCTCAGCCGGGGATCCCCAGAACCTGGCAGGGGTGAAGGGGGGAGCTCACCAGCTGGTTGATGTGGACGCCGGAGCAGACCCCACCGTGGATCCCGAGGGAGTCGGTGGCGTCCTTGCAGTGCGACTTGTAGGCCACGCTCACGCCGGGCGGGAGCTGGAAGTGCTCTAGGTTCACCGTGGACGACAGGCTCTAGGGGGAGAGGGGCACAGGGGCCGTCCAGGAGCCGCGGGAGTGCGGGGGTGCGAGGCCTTGGGCGCGGGCTGCAGTGACCCTCCTTGGCTCACTCATCCCGCGTGCTCCTGCAGCTTCCAGCCAGCCCACGCCCACCCTGGCTCCTACCATCCACCCAGCCCCTCCAAGCCCCCACCCACCCTCCTGGGTCCCAGGCCCCACTGCTCTGACCACTAGGCCACACCCCCACCCAGCCCCTCCACCTCCCCCCCAAGTGTCAAGGAGACCCTGCATGGGGTGCCCAGACCAGAGGGGGCCTTGCAGGGATACGCTGGTTGCTGGGGGAGGTGCTGGGAGGGTACTGGGGGGGGAGGGCCCTGCAAGGATCCCTCAAAACCTTCAGCCCCACCCCCATTACATGCCATCATCCCCTCCCCTCCCTCTCACATTGTAGGCATCAGAGATGAGCTGCACCACGTTGCTGGAATCCTCCTTCAGCTCCCCCACCACCGACTTGGGGATCAGCCTACTCAGCTCCTGGAGGGGGGTAGAGGCTGGGTGAGTGAGTGAGCCCCCCCTCCGCACCCCCAGCTCCGCCCCCAGCCTGCCCCCTGCCCTCACCTGGTACACGGGCAGCGTGGAGCCAGTGACAGCGAAGATGGGCTGGATGTTAGAGGCTGAGAGCACCTGGGCCAAGTGCCCGACCGAGGGGTAATCCTGCAACGAGAGGCAGCGCCCACCGGTCACCACACAGCACCGCCAGCCCAGGGGGGCGTCCAAGCAAGAGTCGGACCCAGGAGTCCCGGCTCTGACCCCCTCCTCCCTCCCAGCACCGGGAACGGAACCCAGGGGCGGCCGGGCCTGAGGAATTAGCCGAGGCACTCAGAACCCATCGCGAGAGAGGCCATGGAGGCCGAGTGAGGTACCCAGAGAAGGGCAAACAGCCCTGGGCTTTACACGGGGAATTACAGCCCAGTCAGCCTAACTTGGACCCTTGGAAAGCAACTGGCCTCAACTATGAAACAAGTGATTTGTAAGAGGAACAGCCAGCCCGGATCTTCAAGAACAAATCCACCTCAATTCCTTCTGTGCCAGAGTTGCTGGTCTAGTGGATGGGGGAAGCTGTCAACACGCCGTCGCTTGGTTTTCATACAGCTCCTCACACAGTCGCACATGCACACTAGGGAGATGGTGGGCGACGTGAAATTACTATAAGGTGGGTGTACAAGCCCGGCCTCCAACGGTAGCTCTGGATGGCTTGCCGTCAAACAGGGAGGGCAAAGCTGCGGGGGTCCCGCAGGGGTAAGTCCTGGGTCCAGTACTAGTCAATATTTTCACTAGTGCCTTGGCTAAGGGAGTGGAGAGGCGGCGTATGAGATTTGCAGCTGACACCACGCTGGGAGGGGTGGCAAGCACTTTGGAGGACAGGATTCGAATTCAACATGACCTTGACACATGGGAGGACGGGTCTGAAATCAACAAGAGGCAATTCAGTAAAGACAAGTGCAAAGCGCTTTGCTTAGGAAGGAAACATCAAATGCGCGAATCCAACCGGGATGGGGAGTCGCTGCTGAAAATTAATGTGGGGGTTAGCAGGGGGTCACGAACTCAATACGAGTCAGCTGCGAAAAAGGCTAAGACCATTCTGAGTGTAGTAAGAGGCACCTTAGTTCCCACTGCTGAAACCACTAGCCGACACTCCCTTCCCAGACCCAGGCATAGAAGCCTGGCATCTGGGCAGCCGTTCCTGGGCTCCGACTGCACCCCTCTCTTTTACAGGGCATGCGCATTTGCCCCCGTCCTCGTCCTAGCCTCCCCCAGCTGGGTGCAGGGTGCTGCAGGGACCGTTCCGATTGCCCCCCGAGGGGCACCGAACAGGGCGGGACCTACGTAGATGTGGCTCTTGCTGTAGAGGCCGTCAGTGTCGAGGTGGCACTGGTTGTCATTCGGGAGGTAGATGCCACCCAGCTTGCCATCCCCCGCCGTGTGGAAGACGTCATCTGACGTGAAGACCAGCAGACGTGTCACGTTCCGCCAGCCAATCTGCTCCTGGTGGGGCGGGGAATGGGGGGGGGGGGTGAGCAGGTACAGTGGCCACCCACTGGTCCCTCCAGCCTGCACGCCCCCTGCAGCTACCCAGACCCCTGCCCCGGTATGCTCCCCATCCGTCTGCCCCCATCCGTCTGCCCTGATCCGCCCCCCATCCGTCTGCCCCCATCCCCCTGCGCCGGTATGCTCCCTGTCCTGCCCGCCCCCCCTCAGCATCTGGGCAGGGCTTTACCTGCTGACCCCGCAGAAGTGGGCACTTTTTCTCACACACCCCTTGGAGCCATGTACACCTGCACACCCACGTGCGCACGCACAGACTTGTGAGTGCCTGCCCCCCCACCGCTATGCACACCCTCTTATGTGCACTCACAGAACCCGTGCGTGCACACCCCCCATGTGCACAGTCACCCTTTGAGCACACATGTGCACGTGCACACAGAGCCAATCACACGTGTGCACTCACACCCAGCCACGCGCACACCGACATTAATGCACACCCTGGCATCAGTGCACACATACACACCCGTGTGTGCATGTGTGTGTGTGTGCGCACGCACACCCAGAGACAGACACACACACTCCCTGGCAGTGAAGTGCATGTTCCCACCCATTTGCACACACAGAGTCATGCACACCTCCTGGCAGTGATGTGTATGTACACACCCGTTTGCACACTTGTGCACTCACATAGCCGTGCACATACTGGGAGCCAATGAAAAGGCAGGGAATGCCCAACAACTGGACGCCCCCTCCCCAACACACGTCCCCCCACCACCACCCAGAGTCTGTGGCTACTGCCCCCACCTACACCCAGCCCCCCCCCCAGCGGCTCACCTCACACACAGCCGCCTGCATGATGGCATCGAAGCCGCCCTCAGGCGAGTCCAGGTTGCCCGAGATGCGCTGCTGGCTCACGCGGCTCTCGAACTCGCTGGCGTTGTCGGTGAGCGGCAGCACGTGGCGGAAGCTCACGGGCGAGTCACACTGCTCGTAGCGGTCGGGGCAGGGGTTCCGCAGCTTGGCGGGCACCGTGCTGACGTAGGGCAGGACCGTCTTGTCCACGAAGGAGCCGAAGCCTGACGGGGCAGAGGCGGTGCTGGGTTCAGGCGCCAGCCCCACAGTCGCCACAGGGGGACCCCATCCTTGCCAGATGGACCCCAGTCCCCCTCCCTCCCCTGAAGCCCTCATCCTCCTCCCCTCCTAGGGTGAGGTATGGAACCCAGGAGTCCGGGCTCCCAGCCCCTCCCTGCTCTAACCACTAGATTCCCCTCTCAGAACCAGGAATGGAACCCAGGAGTCTGGGCTCCCAGCCTTGTCTGCTCTAACCATTAGACCCACCATCCCCCACCCTGTACCATCTGCCCTTCCTTCGCCCACTGCTGCCCTCAAGCCCCATGGAGCTATGATTATGGGGCCAGGTTCCCACAGCTCGTGGCTCCATCTGCGCTCCATGGGGAGGAGCAAAGCGTGAGGAAGGGGTGGGGGGGATATCACCCCACAGGGGGGCGGGGCAGAGTCTGAGGAGAGCCGGGTGATATCACCCCATGGGGGGGGCAAAGCATGAGGAGCATGGGGGAGGGCATTGCCCCTCGAGGGGTTGGGGGGGTGGAGCATGAGGAGAATGGGGGGCATCGCCCCATGGGGGGCTGGGCGGTGGAGCACAAGGAGAGCAGGGGGGCATTGCCCCTCTGGGGCGTGCTGCCTCGTACCAATCTTCACTGACTTGGTGATGTTCCTGAGTGCAGCCAGCAGGTCATTGCCGAGCTTCTTGATGTTCTCCAGGTCGTCCTTCATGGAGTAGGACAGGTCCATCAGGTAGTAGACGTCCACGGGGTAGCCCTCGGCCCGCTTGAACCGCACCGAGAAGCTGTGCTGCTCTCCTAGGGAGTGCGGGGGGGGGGGGAGCCAAGGACCTGGCTCAGCAGGGAATCATGCTGCAAGGCCAGGGGCTTGGGGGGAGACCCTTCATCCACCCCCAGCCAGCCCTCCACCCACCTGCCACCTCCACCCCATCCTCCCGCCCATCCATCCACATACCCATCCATCCCTCCATCCATCCCCCACCCCTTCATCCCTTCATCCCTCCCCCACCCCTTCATCCACCTCCATCCA